TGGTTTGCTTCAATCAGCAGACTCCAGTGTCCTCGGTGCCTCAGTCCCAGTGTCCTGGAGGAAGAGCGAAGCATCTGAGGACCATGCTCCAGGCCCGGGAAAGAGGGTACCGGCTGGGCTGACACTGGAGCCTCAGCCCTGGTGAGGGCTGCTTCCAAACTCCAGGTGCAGAGCGGTCACAGGTGGGGCGTGTTTAAAGCACAGACTTCCGGGGAGACCTAGCAGAGGTCCTGATTCAGCACCTCCTGGAATGGGCTCCGGCGTCCAGGTGATTGCCCCAGTGTACAGTGGAAAGGAGTCAGTGACACTCATTAAGGCAGGGCCAAGGAGACAGGCACAGGGACCCCTGCAACAGGACCTAGCAGTGGGAGACAGACTGGGCCCGAATCCAAACACATGATGAACAAGTGGGATCTTGTAGTCAGAGATCCAGATTGAGGCCAGTGGATGGAAAACTACTGGGGTGTGTGACCTCAGTGTTCAGCTAAGTTCTGGCTAAAATGACCCAGCAGGATTCTGGAGCCCCATAGGCGGGACGATGGGAGTGGTGGAGGCTGAGGATGCTGATGCTAAGGATGATCTGGTATCAGGGGTGAGAGATTCTGGCTACACAGACTTAGCACAGCTCTTTGCTAAAGCTGGAGTTTGCAAGGACCTGCAAGAGGGCTCCGGGAGAAAAAGGTCCAGGAGCCAGACTTGAGTTTGGCCAAGTAAAGAATTTTGACTCAGGTGATGCCAGGAACATACACGGGAACAGCTTCCACAGGGAGAGGCCGCAAAGGATGGCACTGCAGTGATCTGAGCCAGAGCCGCCTAGAAGGAGCAGGCGGCCAGGGCGGCAGCTCTGATGCAAGGCGGTACCTTGTCGGGAGGAACAGGAGTGTGCACGGCAGCCACACCCAGATCAGAGGCGCCAAATGGATGAGCGTTGAGATCTAATCGCCAGCTGCAGGGAGCAGAAGGATGGCAGTGCCCACCTGTCTCTGTTTGTTTATTTGCTTTGACCAATTTAGGCTGGCATTACAGGAGGCCCTGGGAAATCCTATCACCAGGGAGAGGCATGAGGAGGAGCTGCAGCCTGTTTTGATATCAAAACTGCATTTTCTGGGACCTTGGAGGCAGCTGCCACAGGGTCTTCAAGACAGAAGCCCGAGGTTCCTACAAAACTTCCCGGGCTGCCCAGCCTCTGTCCTGCACGCACGGCCCCCTGCCCACTTTTCCTGGTGGGGTTCTTTGTCCATTTTCTGTTTCTGTGAAAGCCAGAGGGGCCATGTTTACTTCCATGTTAGATCTCTGATGTTTCAGAAAGCATATTTTTGAGTTTTATTTGACCCTGACATTTATCGCATCGTCCTGAAGCTGTTCTGTAGTTTGAGACTTCCTTCATTTGGGAAAAGGAGTTAGTCTCTCTCTCTCTCTGTCTCTCTCTGTCTCTGCCTCTCTGTCTGTCTCTATTTCCCCACTACCTGAGGGTTCTGGACCCTAATTATAACTGTCAGACTCTTGCTCTTTTGTTGTATAATTGCCCCCACAATGACACACATTGCCTGGGGGCCTTCTGTGTTGTGACCAGGTGGGCACAGAGGTGTCTATTTTCTTACTCCTTACATATCTGAGGATAACTTCTTTCGCTTTCTTGTCTCAGTGACGAGTTGGCTAGGTCCAGAAGTCTTGCTTTATCACATATTCAGGTTTTTTAGATGCATTGCCGATGGTCTCTGGTAATGGCCATGGAAAAGTCACATGATTTGGAAGAGCAGATTTGAGTCCCAGGGTGCCTTTGGCCAAATACCAGCTCCGTCCCAGCTGTGTGATGTTGGGTAACTTTCTTAAATTTCTGAACCTCAGCTTGATTTATTAACAGGGTGACAACAGTGGCACCTGCCTCACGGGGTGGCAGGGAGGTAAGGACTCGCCTCACGCTGGGCCACAGTGAGAACTGTGGGGCTGTGGCTCTCGTAGTCAGGGTGTGTAGCCTGCATAGACTTCCTGTCCCTGATCCCTCCTCACTGTCCTCGGTATATAGTGGCCTTTTCTGCCTGGATGATTTTCAGGAAATTTCTTTCTAACTTAGAAACTTTGTCCTATAGGGAATCTTTTTATTCCACAGACGTAGTTTTCTTCTGCAGAGTCTAGGTCTGTGGATTCTACGTTTCTCTGTGTGCCTCTTTCTTTGCAGTTTTTGGAGTTTGCGCCTTCATTCTGGGCTCTCCTGCATGAACACCATTCTTCATTCACTGATTGGTTCTTCTTTTGTCCCCATTTCTCTAAAACGATCATATTACCAGTGATCATTCTTCTCTGCATTCTTCCTCTAGATCACCAGTTCAGAGGTCTGTGACAGGAATTCTGCTCTTTACTGCTACGTGTGTGGATGCAGGTCCACGCTGGGCTTTGTGTGTGAGTCTTTGCTTGCTGTTACTATAGGCTGGATGTCTTTTTGTGCTCTAGCAAGGATGTCTGCGATGGCTCAACTTCTGGACACCTTTCCATTTCCCTCCTACTACAATTGTTTCTTTTCATTCATAGCATTGATGTTGTTGTTTTCTTCTTCCTTATACATCCTCTGGTGACCCGGATGAGGGGCTGGCTTCTTCTGTCCTGGGTGGGTGAACTAATGCTGCAGCCCTTCAGTGGGAGGGTCAGTGGGAGGGTCGGTGGGAGGGCCGGTGGGAGGGCCAGTGGGAAGGTCAGTGGGTGGCCGCAGATGCTGACCAGCTCTCCAGTTTTCATGCTTCCTTCTCCTGCCCTCTTAGGACCCTCTCAGAAGTGTCTCACTGCCAGTGTTCTGTTTCTTTCAAATTCTGTGCAGCTTCTAGAGGCTGGAGAAGGATGGCCCCTGCTGACCAGGCCTTTGGGCAGGGAACTGAGGATGGGAAAGTTGTATCTTCCCATTTTTCTCACCCAAATGGTGCTTTGCTCTGGGAGCCTAGGAAGTCAAAACTGAACTGCATGCTTCTGTGCTTAAAACCATTTACAGACCCCCCTGTGCTCTCACGTTCAAGTCCAAATCTTCTCATGTGCTCCCTGAAGTTCTCCAACCCCATCATGCCTTCTCTCCAACCAGAGTTCCCTGTGCTGCCCTTGACCTGGTGTGGTTTCCCGAACACCTCATGTTCACCAGAGACCTCAGTGCTTTTGCATGAGCTGCTCCCTCAGGTTGCAGTGGACCTTCCCTACCCAGCCCACCCCTACCTGGAGGAGGCTAATGACAGGGGTCAGAGGCGTGTCCTCTCTGAATCCTTCTCTGACGTGCCTTGGCAGCCTGAAGAGTCCCCTGATCCCATGCTATGGTCTCTCACCCCTTCATTGGTAGCACATTTCCTGAACCCTGTTTTGTCCAAGGCCCCAGTAGCCCTTCTGACACTACTCTGTGAAGGACAGTCCTTCCTTGGGGTGTCCCCAGGGCTCTGTAATAGACGCTCAATGCCTGCTTACACAAGTGAAGTGAGGGTCCATGTTCCTCTCAATGGCCTGCCCCATGCTGCCTGGAGCAAGGACCACCCGAGACCCAGTCACCCTGCTGGTACTGCTGGGGATCTGGGACACAGCCAGAAGGCCCACAGCCTGGCCAGGGCAGCTCCAGGTGTAGACTGGCCAACTGAGGCCTCGTAGCTCTGCCCTTCCCATCTCTGACTCAGGACTGCGTGTCCACGTGGTCCAGCTTTGCGAAGGGCATTTGAGAATCCAGAAAGCATTTGAAGATAAAGTACAGGCAGAGGGCTTCTTTGGAGACAAAGCAGAGGTGTATGAGGTGATGTGAAACCTTGCACTTGACCTTGGAAGGCTGTTCTGGAAAATGCGAGAGCAGTGATATAGCTGGACGTGTACTGAACTGTTCTTTTTGGTTTAGCCTTACACACACACACACACACACACACACACACACACACACACACACTGTCTTATGCAGAATCTATCTTCTCAAAGATGGAGACCCAGCCCCCACTGCTCATGGGAACTGAATATAAAAATAATCACCAGTTTTAGGCCTGAAGGCCACCTTGCCAGGGAGGAGGCAGGGTGCAGAGGTGGGGGCAGTGCCAGCCTTGCAGGATGAGGTAGGCAGAAATCAGTGGCCCCAACTGCCCGCTGCGGGATCATCACTTCACCACGTTAAAAAAAGCTATTCCCAAACAGGCTCCTCCTGACGGCCTCGGAGCTGATGTAAAAGCCACCGAATGTGTGTATTTATGGAGTTGTAAGTAGGTCAGATATTTCTGTCACTAATTATTACTTGTGAAAAAAATATGTCGTGAGCTTGCCGCAGGGAGAGAATATTGGGAGTAGCATTGATCTTTGGAATTTCCAGCCTGATTTAATCCATTCTGGGCCAGGATGCTGAGAACTGTCAAAACAGGGGAAAATGTCCCCAGTTCAGGGCCAGAGCGGACACTTATAAAAACTGCAGAAGGAAGCAGAGAAACCAGGACCGCAGGCCTGCCATTCACTTCTCTCCCCTGGGCTTTAGTCTTCCTGCTGGGTTACGCCTCGCACTCAGCGCCCAGCTTCTGATTCCACGAGCTCCTTGGTAGAAGGTGGTTTTCTGGGGATCTGCAATTTCCCTTCTGTTTTAGGCATGGAGTTATTTCCAATTCCAAGAGGCAAAGGCAAAGAAGCTGTCCAGAAATGAAATCAAAATTTTCTAGCAGTAAATATCAGGTGGGAAATTTTGCTGCACCTGAATGCCTAGATATTTGCTGGACACTGAATATGTGGTGGGCATTGTGATAGGCATGTTGGACATGAAAATGCAGGGACTCTGCTCATTCTTTTAGGATTGGCTACCCTTTGTTATTACGTTTCAGAAGGTGAAATGATTTGTCAGAGGTTGAACAGATAGTAAGCAACCTCAACCCAGTTCTACCCTCGCTCTGTCTCTTGAGAAATCTCCAGGGCCCTAGTATCTTATGTGAGCCCCCACAGCTGCACCCCAGTAAGCAGTCAACAGTCCCCTCCCACCCTCTAGATGCAAAGTCTGGATGCCAGGGTTGCTCTAATTAGTTTTATTTTACAGGCTCTGAGACTTGTCAATGTTTTATGCAAAATTATGCAGAATATGCAAATCAGCAGTGCCTCTGTTGTTGCCGGAGCCAGTGGGGCACCTGGGGGTCTCTGATCTGGAAAGTTCTACCTGCAGAGCTTCCTGGTGGCACAGGCGGTGGGAAGGATGCTGGCTACTGTCCACAGTGTCACATAAGAGCTGTGTCCTGGAACCACAATGCAAATGTCCCTTGCCATCCAGAGACCATCTCCTTAAACACCTGGGCCAGGATGAGTTGATTCCATCTGAAAAGTTTTTAGTTTTGATTTTAAAGAAAGTGGACCACGGGGTCCTTGCCTTCAAAAAGGGTGAGTTGATCTCCATGGGCTTGAAGGCTCTGTGGTCACCTGAGAGTTTGGGAAGTCCCCTGCTCTTTTTCTTCACTGCTATCTTCCAATGTCCCTGTCCTCTTCCCCCCACAGCATCCATGTCTGCTACTTGTGCCTGTGCTCCCCCACGAGGTCCTTGTCCCTCTGGAACCTGCCACGTCCTCCTTGCTGTGCACGTGCGGTTCCTGCTGCCAGCTACGTGCACCCTCCCCTCTCAGCCCACTGGCTCCTCGATCTTTGAGGATGTTCCTGGTGCCGCCCTCTCCTGCCCCGCCCCCGGCTCCCTGCCTGCCCCGCCCCCGGCTCCCTGCCTGCCCCGCCCCCTTACGGCACTGACCAGCTGGGTGCCCGAGCCCTCCCTGGGAGGCGCCAAGCTGCTGGGGACAGAGACCTGCTGCTCTTCTCCACGTACCTCCAAGTGTGTGGCCCACGACTGTCACTCATCAACCGTTGGGGATCAATATCTGAATGATTAACAAATAAAAGAGAAAGCACATCTGCCCATTCTGGTTCAGAGCTGTCCCAAAGTAGCTGGGCGACAGCTCCCCATCTAACTTGCAACTTTAAACTAAAAATAGGTGGAAGAACACCAGGCTCCTCTCACTTCCTAATATAAATTTTAATTTTTAATAGCTTGAGAAATCCGGGAACTATACCTGTGGGAAAATGATGAGGAATCGGCCATATAAATTAATGGAAGTATGTGTTCACATTATCTAACTGTATTATGTGTGAATAATAATTAATTATGGATTCTACATGTGGTCTTGTCTTAGCGAATCCTTTAGCCCAGTGCGAAGGAATTTGAGAAGTCATTCATCACCCACTGTGCTCCACCTGGGGCCATAATATAAAAAGTGAAAACCAAAAAAATTTTCCATAATTTATGGAAATCATCATCTTAGAGGGAAAAACAACTCTTATTAGGAGCATAATAACTTGGAAAGAGGAGTTGCACCCAAGTGTGTTGTTAATGCCATTTGAGTCACCTGACCCACCTCCTCCATCTTCCTGGCATTCATTCATCCTTCCATTCATTTACTGCACCGAGAGGCGGCAGAATGCCTGGGTAGGACCGTGGACTCAGTGCCAGGTTGTGGGGGTTCAGATCCAAGCTCATCTCCTTTCGAGCTGTGTGGCAGGAGGCAAGTTGCTTAACCTCTCTGTGCCCCAGTTTCCTCATCTATAACATGGTGACAATCTCAGTAGCTATTGCATGGGGTTCATGGGGAGAGAGTAATCAGTGCTACTCCAGTTGTGGCTCTGGTGTTGCGCTGGGAATTACCTAAGATGGGCCAAGCTCCTGCCCTTGAGCTGTTTGCTGATGGGTGGCTATAACTAAGCATGTAAGTTTAAAGTTGTGCACTGCGCATGTTTCTTGTGGAAGGGACACTTCACCCAAGGGGTGGGTCAGTTCCTCCAAGGAGTGATTTCTGGGCAAGTCTGAGGAATCTGCAGGCATCCGCAGGTGCTGGCAACAGAGGTGCAGGACCCTGCATGGTGCTGCCCTCTCTACTTGGGTTGCCCTTACCTGGTTTCCATTTTTAAGGAGTGACCATCCGCATCCGTGATTCAGGGACACGCTAGAGCATGGTGCTAACATCAGCTAAGAATGGACTGGACATGCATCACAGAATAGAGAGCTGTGGGTTCTGGGACCCGAGCAACACAGGGGTCCCATGGTCCAGGACAGAGAGAGGGACAGGCTGGTCCCGTAGTGTTTGCAAGCCAACCTGCTGCTGGGAAAGCTACAAAGCTAAATCCTGCGCCTGTGTGGTGGTGCACATCTGTAGTCTCAGCACTCTGGGAGGCTGAGGCAGGAGGATCACAACTTTAAACCCAATCTGGAAGACTTAACCCCTTAGAGAGACTCTGACTCAAGATAAACAATGGGGAAAAATGGCTGAGAATGTAACTTGGTGCAAAAGTGCTCGGTTTAGTACTCAGCCCACACAAATGCTATATCCGGTCTTCCAGCACACAAACCAGATGGACAGAACTCTCTGGGTAAAGGAAGAAACTGGAAAGTCCTGGCTTCTGACTTAAGGTATGGGGGAAAAAATTTCCTAATTATGAATGAAAGGCACAACCCTTGAGGCCAAAAATTGTTAGACACAACTACATACAAATGAAAGCTTCTTGCTTAGTAGAGGATGAGCAAGGTGGGAAGATGGATGCCAGGAGGAAGCAGATGTTCAAGTTGAAAGCAGACAGAGATTTTTACCTGTGCCACCTGAGGACTTCCTTCAGATCAACAGGGAAAATCCAGCAACTCAGTATCAACAGTTGGTGATGTGAATGGAGAGTTCACAAGAGAACGATGACCAAGTGGCAGATTTCAAAAGAGGCACCTGTGCAAAGCAAATCTAAAATGTGTGATAATCCCAGCATGCCGGTCATCTCAGCACTCTGGAAGGCTGAGGCAAGAGAATCATATGCTTGAGCCCATCCTGAGCAATCTAGCAATTTAACAAGACCCTATCACAAAATTTAAAAAAAAAAAATGTTTTTTTTAAAGGCTGGGGATGTAGCTCAGTGCAAAGGCCCTGGGTAAGAATTCAAGTTGTGCAAACTGAATGATGCAGCGTTAGCAGTCAGCTTTCAGCCAGTGTTGCAAAATGACCAAGAAAAACAATTCAAGGCAGAAGGTCGGCTTTGGCTCGCAGTTTCATGGTTTCAGTCCCTGGTCAGTTGGGCCCAGAGCCCTGTGCACCGGGGAGACAGAAACATCACGGTGGGGGAGCACAGGGAAGCAGAGCTTCTCACCTCACTACATCTGGGAATCAGGGAGAAGGAAAGAGCCAGAAAGGAAAGGGACCGGGACCAGGTACAGTCCCCAAGAGGTCACACTGCCATGACCTGCTCCCTTCAACGAGGGCCCACGCCATTCTGAGCTGGGTAAGGTTTCTGTGCTGTTAGGGTTTGCATTTGATTCATGTGCTCAGGGCTTTGCTGGCCCAGCTCAGAATGGAAACAACTGGACAGGGGACGATGCCAAGGGGCCTGGGAGGGGGCTTGGGCTCGCCATGCTGCTGGGGTTGGTCTCAGGTTGAGGGGCTGTGTGGGGCACTGATGCCAGCCAGTCTCCCAGCATTAAGCTGTGCCCCAGCCTAAGGCTGAATGTGACTGGAGGAGTACACCCCTCCCAATCCACACAAGCCACCACCTTGCAGCCCATTGTCACCTGGAGGGACACTTTCTTTTCAAGGAGGTGCTATGGGGCTCTAGGACTCTGGCCTTTGGAAAGCCATTTGGGAATTAAATATTCATTCATCACCCAGCAGGGCTCTCCTGGGCAGCCAACTTGGAGACCTCTCATACCAGACAAAAGGGGCCCTCATGGGGCAAGTGCAGCAGTTAGCTGAGGATCAGAGACTTGGAAGCTATCCAGGTGTCCATTGCTAAGGGAGGGGGCATGAAAAACTGGTGGGTTCTCACCATGGAGAAGTGTGCAACTATGACATACCACTGAACACACGTTTGCGCTGAGCACAGGGACAGTGACAACAAACCCAATACAGACCGAGGGCCATAGCAGAGAATTAGTCAGGTTAATTAAAAATATAACAGCACAACATGTAAGGAGTCATGCATATTTAAAGACATCTATCAGGCACATTATCAAGGATGCTTACGGGGGAAGGGAAATGCTGTGGAATCAGGGAAAAAGGAGAAAGTTTGCAGATCTGGGACCACACCTGTGCAAAGGCGCTTCCCCAGTGCAGTGGTGCAAAGTCCTTGTAGCAGAGCTGAGCTGAGCGCCCCACTCTACACTGAGTCTGTGCAAATGGCCAGACAAGGGCTGGGTCTGTGTTCACTCGGTCATGGAGGCCCTGCCTTCCATCCACAGCAGTGGAGAGACACACAGGCACCAGAACGGAAACAAACGCAGAGGCCCTTCCTGTCCTTTAGGCTCAGCAGCAGGTGCTACTTCTTTTCTACTTGATTCCAGGGTCCCTGGTACTTGATCCCCTCTGCCTGGAAGCCAGTGAGCCATGGAGATGCCACAGGCCACCATGGATCTGTCAATTATCTTTCCACTAATGGCAAACAGCAGGCCCCAGTGAAAGCTTGCTGGTTTGAGTCTCTGTTTTCCTGCAGGTAGGAGAAGCGTGATCACACTGGGCAGTGACAGGAGAAAGTATGGACACCTGGGATCCAGATTTTGGGAGTCTGGGTTCTTTCTTCATCAGCAACCTGGTGGGTGACCATCAGTAAGTAGTCTTTCCTCTCCAAGCCTCAGTTTCCCAGTGGCTCCTCCTCAGCATCAGAGAGAAGATAATATCCCCAAACCATTTCCTGTCACCTCCTGGGTGCACAGTCAGCCCACATTTCCTGGCCTGGACAGTTAGGTGTGGCAGAGTCACTGGGCTCAGCCAACATCCTCCACTCCCAGCTGGGCTGTGCCACCACCTTCCTGGAGCCTCCAAGTTCTTATGTCACCTGCTGATGCACACGGAGGAGTCCATGGGGCCTGGGTCCCTGAGCACCTGGAGAAGCGGGCGGCTTTGCAAGCATAGCCACCCCTGCCAAGTTGCTACATTAGCAAAACTTGGGCTCCATGGTAGTTTGCCTTTGAAATGTTGGGGTGTTTCTCACACTGGGTACCCTGCCAACGAATTCATTTCCTTTTGGTCCGAGGATGTCACAAGTGTTCTGTAATTTGCGCAATGTTTCTCTGCTTTCCACAATCAATGTTTTGACACCCGGCTCTTTCATGCCCCAGCAAGGTGGCTGAACAGGCTGCGAGAGCAACCAATATCCAAACAGAGCCTCCGTGCTCAGGACCCCTGTCATTCACTTCCTACGTACATCTGCTTCCCCGGATCCCAGACAAAGACAAGGCTATAGTAGCTCAGCCTCAAAAATGCTTTCGTGGTCCCTGTGATGGTGGAATAAAGCCAAAGAGCTCACCCCGTGAGCCCTGTAGGAACCGGCCCTGGTAGTTCTGCTGGCTCTCTTATCCCACCCTAATCCAGCTCAGCAAGCAAAGCAGTTCCTCGAACGGGTGGGTCAACCCCAGGGCCTTTACACCTGTTGGTTGCTCTCTCATCTCCTTCTCTTCTCAGGAAGCTGGGCTTACAAGTCCTTTTCCACAGGAGGCCTGGACTCCCCTCTGCAGTCTCTGCTCTTGCCCTATGGATACGCTCATCTTGCACAGCATCAGTCACTGTTGTAACTAGTGGTGCAACCTGCATCTGCCTTACTCAACTATTGGTGTCCTGGGGACCCCACCTGGCGCAGGCTCTGGCTAGGCGACAGTGTTCATAATTGAGTATTGAACAGAGTGTCAAGAAATGAGCAATTAATGAATACACAAATGAATTTGTATCTTTTGGGGGAGGCGATTGTATCTTGTGCCACTCTGCGGGCACAAACATTTCCTAGAAACACAATGTCTCCCTAAGAAACGAGAAGGTCATCCTTTGGTCACAAGGGGTGTTGGATCTCTGGGCTCCCAAGGAAAATCTGAAAAGCCAGGATTCAGGGTCTGCAGAGGGATTCTGCATGAGCACCTGAGGGGCCCTGAATTCTGGGTTTGATCTGTATTTGGGACTTAATAAGAAACAAAAATAATGCTCAGAGTACCGAGTGCTCAAGGGAGAGCTGGGGACCTGGTTCAACGAGCGTCATCTCCATGGCAATTGTTTTCTCTGCAGGTCCTCGAAGCAGCCATTTGTGTCTGTTGATCTTCACACATGGATGACCGGCTGGGTCCTGTCAGACAGAGAAAATACGGGATGAAATGCGATGCCCATGGCACAGGCCTCCCCCACCCCACTTTGTTGCATTACAACTGGGTGGGGCAGGGGGCACCCAGGGGGAACTTTGAGGTGGCTTCAAATGACAACTTATTTAAATAACAAGAGCATTGCTTCCTGCTGCTCATCCCTCCTACCAAAGGTGTCTTCTCTTAGCCCAGGTGCTGAGACTGGGGAGCCCCAAACCCAGCACCCTGGCAGGAAGGCCTGGGCTTTAGGGGAGCTCCGCAGCATCTCAGCTGAAGGCCAGACTCACAGTTCACTGGTTCTGTCCCTTTGTACCTCTGCTGATGAAACTTTGCACCTTGCCTGATCTTTACTGTTCTACTGATGATTAGTACGAATATGACCTTCCACTGTTACAGAAGTTTCAACATTTTCCTCCAAACACTTGCTTGATTAGTTTACTCCGTTGTCTTTGCAGACTGTCCCTTTCCAGCTATCAGAGATTTTACCTGGGTGGCTGTCCTGGAGACTGGGACTAAGAAGAATCCAGTTTTCCTTCTGGGGCTGGGTGCTGACCCCACCCCCAAGGGGCATCCAGGGTCCGAGGCTGCAGTGGCTGGGGGTGGATGAGCTATGGGTGGGGAGACTGAGGCCAGAAGAGTGGCTGAGCTGGGGTGAGCCTGCAGGGCTCGTCCTTCTCCAGGGCTCCCCACTGCACCCCACTATTCCCAGGCCAGGCCCCTCCTCAGTGATAGCGATTCTGAGCTCTGCAAAGGGCCTCCCCTCCGGGCTGGGTCTCAGCCTGGAGTGAGGGACAGGACACCTAGGCCAGCCCTGATCCCAACTGTCCCTTGCTCTTCTGGTCTTGCTTTTTTGTCCCCCAGCCTTCCTCTCCCTGCTACTGCAGCCCCTGACTCCTTCCTGAGGCCTCACTCCTTCCTCACACGCTGTGGTTTGGGCAGGCCATTCCTAGCCATTTGGGACTGAACTGGACTTTGGTATGGCTTGGACCCCGAGATTTGGAAGCATGTCTTGGGTGTTTCTTTTTCCTTTTTTCTTTTTTTTTGGGAGATGGGGTGAGGGGTATAAGACAGGGTCTTGCAATATAGTTCAGAATGGCCTTGAACTCACTATGCAGCCCAGGCTGGCCTCAAATTCACAGCGATCCTCCTGCCTCAGCCTTCCTGAATTCTGTGATTACAGGTGTGCATCACCACGCCCGGCTTCTCTTGGTGTTTCTAAAACACAGCCAGGTTTGAAAAACCAGGGCTTCTTCCCCTGCCCTGACATCACTGTAGAGAGGAGATCTCTTTGAGGGATGGACATTCGGCCTGAGGCTCCTCTGTCCCTCAGGCTTCAGAACCACTGAAGCACTTCTGGGGTGTCAGAAACAGCACGTGTGCCGAGGGAGAGGCCAGGACAAGCAGCAAAGGTGACAGACACACTGTGCGCCCTCACGTTCCGGACCCCAGCCTGACACGAGGACTTAGGGGACCCCAGAGGAGCCAGCATAGCTAGTGAGACTCAGACAGACCTCAGAAGCCCTGCAGCAAGTTCTTCAGAGGTGCCACACACTTTGGGATTTCTAGGGTTGCTGCTCCGAGGAGCAGAATAAAGGTTCAGTAGTGCAAGCTTGGGAAACAGAGTTCACTAATTGGTCCACTCAGTAAACACTGAAAATATAATGTGTGTCCGTGTTCTAGGGACACAAACATAGCAGTGAACAGAATGGATCAAAGCACGAAGAAAAAAACAAAAACCAACCCAAACCCAACAAAATAAAGCAAACAAAACCTCATTTGGAGCTTAGAGGCTGGAAAGGAGGTCGAAGCATTTTCTCTTGTGCAGGACTTCTCAGTGCCTATAATATATTAATGGGCATCACCAGAAGGGGATAAAACATGCTGTGTTTCCCAGAACTACTGGACCTGAGAAATTTTGCCATGCAAGACACTTGGAGAACTCAGTGTTCTTTAACAAATGGATGCTAAAGCTCTAACCCACCCAGCTTCCTGGCATACAGATGGTGAGGGGAGAGTGTGATCGTATGTAAGGTCACCAGGACTGCTCACACCAAAGTCAGGTTTCCCCATCTTCATGTCCATCTCCCGCCCCACTCTGTGATGCCTGAGATCTGGGGGTGCTGTGAACCCAGATGCTTTGAGATAAAGAGCCGCAGGCTCCCATAGTCCCAGTGGGCACCCAGACTGTGTCCTGCTGAGATGTCCACCTCTGACCGCCGGTTCATGTCCCACGACCTCTCCCTGAGCTCAGCCTGCTGCTATGAGGTGCTGTACCTGCCTCTTGGGAAAGGAGGCAAACGGGGACACGGGGTGGAACGTTGAGACTGCTGGGGACAGTCACTTTGTGAAAGCGTGGCCACAGCCTGAGGAAGCTGTCTGCTTTCTTTGGTTACCCTCAGGTGCTCTGATGTCTTCTGGACCAAATTTGGTGTCCAGAATGGGCGAAGAGCTTGCAGTGTTCAGAGGTGAATTTTCAAAACACGGAAGGCAGATGGTGGCACACAGGTATAAGGTCAGCTGTGTGGCATCACCAGTCGGTGCGTCTCTAGGTGCTGCCAAACCCTGCAACAGGCGGGAGACATCACATCCTGCTGAGGAGCAGTCCAGGCTCTGGGAGGTGAAAGTGCTTTTTCACGTCAGATCCGGCCCGCACTGGTCTGAGTTGAGAGCTGAGTTCTTCCCACTCACAGTGGTAACACTGTGTGGCCAGCACAGTGTTACCAAACCTCGAGCAGCCAGTGTTCCCGAGAGGCGGCTATGGGCAGTCCCTGAGGAGCACAGGAGGCTGAGCAGCCTGAGCCGGGGCTTCTCACTACTTAGTGGCCCTGGCTTCCTTCCCTTTCTGGGATTTTCCACTTTCCCCCATTTGTGCTTTCTTCCTAAAAACACCAAAACCTTATAATAAAATAAAACGATCAGTGTCATCACGAACCCAGTTACTGCTACCTGCTGGTTTCTTTTCTCACTATTTCCAATTTCTTAATATTGTATCTTTGACTTCATGACTTTTCAACAACCCTCCAAAGGATCTTAACGTTTTTCCTAAACTAAAATAAAAATAAAAAACAAAACACTCTCCTGAGGAGAAAAGGAAAATTGTATGTTTTTTGTTTACATGAGTGTACAGAAAATCACTCTTCTCCATGTGGCCTTGGTGATTTTCCATTGTGATATCAAACGACAAATGGATAAACTGGAGTTTGCAACACATCTCTGGGGACTGCTTTTCTATTTGGGTGACCCCTGAGAGGCTTCTGAACATAAAGCTATTTTTGCAAAAAAAGAGGAAATGCTGAGGGGTGGCCGCCACCAGCGATGTCCACCCAGATTCTAACTTATTCTTCTGGCTGCTTATTTTTATTTTTATGTAATGTGGTGTTTTGATGCATTGTTGGTATTTCGTGTTTGACCTTCAGCTGGTAGAATTCGTCTTGAGCATGCCAGGAGAGGCGATGGGCTGTTAGTGACCAAGCAGCAGCCTATTTTCCTAAACTCTCACCCAGTGGTTTTCAGGGAGCTGATAAAGAGCAAGGTCAGTCAGCAAGGAAGGACAGTGGCACTGCTTTGATCTTAATTCTCTGCCATCGTAACCGACTCCCCGCTGCTTGACATGGGAGCATGCTTCCTGTTGTCCAAGGCTTTCATAACAGAGGCCTTTGCATTTGGGGAAGAACTTCGGGCAGGTCCTAAGCCACAGATTCTGAGGGACAAAATGCTCTGGTTTGGTCTGAAGAATTTGCTTTCCTAAATTCCGAGCCCTGTGAGTTCTAGGTATGGTAGACTGAGCACTGGAAAGGGAGCCGGTTGGTGTAACCCTCTAGCACACTGGGAAGAAGATTGCTATTATTCCCATTTTATAGATGGAGGTACCCGGTTGGACTAATGTGCCCCATGAGACAGTAGTTAAAGTCAAGTGCACAGACTGGCGACTTAATGACTGAGCCTAGAGCCTCTGCAGGTCACTGAGTGCCTTTGGGACACCCCCCTTCCTTATTTGGCCCCGTTCAGATCTACAATGTTCCTCCTAAGTCTCAGATGCTCAAAGATGGAGCTTTCGGAAGGTGACTGGATTATGAGGGCTGTAATTTCACCCAGGGATTAATCTATTGATGAGACCATAATTTGATGGCATCCTTGGGAGGTAATGGAAACTTAGGAGGTGGGGCCCACCTGAAAACTTGCGTATGACCTAGGAGGATACATCTGGCCCCGGCCCCTCCCTCTAGGCCAGGTTCTCTCCCTCTCTCTCTGCTTCCTGGCTGCCATCCAGTGAGTAGTTTTTCTCTCCACATCCTTCTGCCATGATCCTTCTGCCCCCTCACAGGCCTAAAAGCTCTGGAGTCAGCAGACCATGACTAGAACTTCTCAAAGTGTGAGCTAAAAATAAACCTTTCCCTCATTAAGTTGTTTATTACAGATGTGGCAAACTAGACTATCAACTTGATTGGCTCGGAGCTGCCTAGGGGGTTAGTAAAGCACTGTTTTGAAGTGTGACCTTGGCCACTCTATCTGGTCCCCGATCTCTTTGTCTCTGCCACTCTTCCAAAGCTCTGCTTCCTGACCATCATGAACTAAGCAGCTTTTGTCCACCATGACCTTCCATCATGATGCTCCCACCTTGGACCCAACCAACATGGACTGAACCATCTGAAACTGAACCAAATAAACTTTGCATTGGGTGTTAGGCATTTTGTACTAGCAACAGGAAAGCTGACTAATACATCAAGTAATTTGTCAGAGACAAATAAGCTGACTAATATGGGGAGGGATGTCCAAGTTTGGTCTCTAGAGTCTAAAGCAAGAGAATTTAGTGTGGTGGGAGAGAACAGTATTAAGTGACTGTTTATGTGCGACATATCTTACATGTACTCTTCATTCAGTTGTCATGTTATTTGAGGAGGTAATAGGTACTATCATTCCTATTTTACTGATGGTGAAACTGAGGCTCAGAGAAGGGTACAGCTTGTTTAAGGTCATAAAAAGGATGACAGATCCAGGATTAGTCTCCAGGTTCTGGCCCCATCAGAGTGTGTTTGCAATTGACTGTTCATAAATGTGCCTCGGCTATATGATGACTCATGAGGGCAGGGACCATTTCTCAGTATGTTCTGAGTCTGTTGGTATCAGCACAGGGCGTGGCTCCAAATAGATGGTCAATGGGCATTGTGGACTGGACGGATGGATGGATGGACGGCACACTTTGGAGAATATTCCCTCTAGTGTGTATAGGAATCACAGTTGGAAGAGAAAGGCAGAAAAAGTCTTCATTATGGGACCAACAGCTGGATCTGATTCAGTGCTTAGTCCAGATGTGACTCCTTTGCAAACTCTGAATCGAGCTGAATCAGAAAAGTGTTTTGTGGAAGTGCTTGTATTCTTTCTAACTTAGCATCTAGAAGACAGGACTTCAGTCCTCTCTCTTGCTGGCTGTGACAGAATTTGAGGGTTTACTCTCAAGTTTTACTTTCTTCTTTGTACTTTTTGGTGTATTCAAAATTTTGTATTGATTTTGGGGACTGTTGGGGATTGAACCCAAGGTTTTTTGCACTGAGCTACATTTATCAGCCCTCTATTAACTTTATTTATTTTTTTTGGTACTGGGAATTGAACTCATGACCTTGCACTTGCAAGGCAGGCACTTATGCTGCTGAGCTAAATCCCTGGCCTTATGTTTTTGAGACTGGGTCTTGCTCAATGGCTATGTTGTTCAGGCTGGGATCTAACTGGTGATCTTCATGCCTCAGCTTCCCAGAGTGCTGAGATTACAGGCGTGCACTGCTGAACCCAGCTATAATGATTTTTTTAAATTGCAAAACAGTTTAACTTTTAAAAAACAGGACCAATACTCAGATTACATTTTTATTTCAATGCTTTTTGTGTAAACAGAAAAATGGTTATTTAGGGTACTATATGGGTAAGTATTGTGGTATTGAATTAAAAAGTGCCTTAGAAATAAGGAAAAGAAAAGAGGAAAAGTTAAGGTTAATCAGGGAGGGCAAGGTGGAAACCCTGTCGCTACCGCTGATGCCCACAAGAGGGCGCCTCAGGGTCATCAGGAAGGTAAAAGCTAAACCCAAGCGCCTTCCTGCCCAGTTACAGCAAATAACCAATGAGTGGGCTCTGCCTGCCCAGCACTTCATGGTTTACACTTTCCCCTTACTCCTCTCCAGTGTCGTCTGAGCCTCACAAGGAAAGGTCTCCCAGGTTTTCGCTACTCGGCTGAGAGGCAGGGCTGGTCTACACCTAACTGGGCATGGGTGCGGGATGATAGAGGGGGCTGCAGAGCCTGCCACAGCTATACAGCCCCCTCCCAAAGATGCGAGGCTCCCACCCTACCAACAGCACTGCTTTCTCCAACCTCTGGGTCTGGAGCAACTGTATTGAAGACATTTGTCCAAATCAACCTGGTTTTCCTGAGCAGAGAAGGCAAACCAGTGAACTGGCACCATTCTTCCGGGAAGAAAGTCCTACAAGGTGCAAGGTGGCAGAGTCTGGAGCCTTTTTCTCCACATACTGGGAAAGTACAGAGCCAAGTCAGCTGGGCTGATACTCATTTGCTTCACTCTGTAGGTGTAGCCTCTGAGGGCCCCAAAGCACCCTGGCAGGGAGGTATTAAGATGAGGAAACTGAGGCTCAGAGAAGTTTAAGTGCTCAAAGCCACTCAGCCCTTCAGGGACAAACAGAATCAAAATCTCAACATTTGAAGGGTCCAGGCTTCCAGAGCCCAATCACCTCTTTTGTGAGTGAAGCCCGGCCTGGGAGGCACTTTCCAGCGAAGCAGTGACAAGAAGGTAGGCCAGGACTCAGGCTCTGAACTTGAGAGGCCCGACTGCCCAGTCCTGAATTGTAGTAGGCTGCAGGGAGGCCCAGCTCTGGTTCAAGGGTTCTGTGAGCCAGCACAGGAAATCTCTTCCTTCTATTAATGCATGCTTTAGTTACACTTCTTACAGTAATTACTCTGCAGTAATTAACAAGGGAAAATAACACATCTGGGTCTATACTGCAGCTCCAAACAGATGTACAAGAAACAGACATTCCCAGGTCCTTATGCTAATTTCCCAAATGTGAATTGAACACCTATTATGCACCAATAGCAAGCCAATGAGCAAGGCCCCTGCTGGCTATCAGGCAGGACCCTCACCTTCTGGCAGGGGCAGGAAGGTGATGGACAGCAGGTGCACAAACATGCTGAAGAGGTCAGTGAGTGCTGAGTGCTGTGGAGACTGTAGAGCAGGGTGACAAGGGTCATGCTGGGCTGAGGCCTGTGGAGATCTGGGGAGAGCATGCTGGATTAAGGGAAAGACAGTGCCAAGGCCCTGGGGTAGGAATCAGTCCATGACATTTGGAGTAGGCCTGCACAGCTGAGGCAGAGCCTTGTGGCAGTACGGGTGGAAGATAGCTCAAAGGAGAGGTGGGTGAGGTCCTGTAGGGCTCAGGAAGCCACAGGGAAGCAGCTAGATGTTTCTGGAAGGACAGTGAGAGCCCACTGTGGGGACCTGAATCCGGGTCATGGCAGAGCCTGATTTTGCACAGTTCCAAAGCTTTGGGGTTGCTTTCTTTTCTTTTCTTTTTCTCTTCATCTTCCCGGAAACCCAGGAGAGTTGGGGAGGTCATGCCCAGGGCCGATGCCTGTGGACTCTGCAGGGCAGAGGAGGCACTTGGAGGGTGAACTCGGTGCAAATTCCCTTCTTTATTTAGCTTGTCTCTCTTCCCTTTCCTCCCTCCTTGCAGAGGATCCCGCAGTTCCTGCCCTACGGCCTGGGAACTGAGTTGTTTAGGCCAAACGGTGACCTGGTGGTGCCAAGCACCCAGGCCTCCCAGAGCCAGCTTCTCTGCCAACGGACCACGGCCAGGATGGGAAGTGGGCAGCAGCTCTTGTGGGTGGTGGGAAAACTGGGACCTCACGCGCAGAGAGGGGTAATTCCTCTTGAGAACCAGTAAAAAGCTGCGGAGGCAGGGAGGAGCAGAACGGGACAGAGAAGAAGGGAAAGGGGTCTACTGCATCGGAGGGGCGAGGGCCAGACTTCTCCCTCCTCCTTGGAGCAGGGCCGCCTGTTTCC